GGAGTTTCAAACTTAAAAATGATGAAAGTATGTTGCAGTATTCATTACATCAACCCATACCAGTGTACTGTCTTTGCTTCCCTGTGATATAAGATAATCAGCTTTGTACTCTTTTTGATATTCTTTCCATTTTCACTAACTGTAACACAAGGCCAGATCATGATCAGTCCACCCCCGTGCTTGACAGCCAAAAGAATGGGCTTGACCTAAAAAGCCTTAAAACATTGTGAATACATTTCATCAGAATACTAATCCTTTTCTCAGACACATTCATCTCTTTAAAATATTCATTTGCATTATTTTACTGTTGAGTTTGGCCATAGGCAAACAGAAAAAAAAGTTATTTATTGCCTTTTTAATGACATTACAAACTGAAGAAACGCGAAGGTTTCAAACAGGACCATTATTTCCTGATTGATGGAACCAGATATGATAAATATTTAAGAGGCTTTGAATTTTGCTTGACCTTGGTTTTCTTAAAAATGATTAGAAACATGACCAGTGTTGTGCAAATTCACATTTTCCAAGAAAATATGTTAAAGTTTATTTTACACAAACTGAAACGGACTTGTTGAAGTGCAAAGATCACCATTTGAAATGTTGATTCAAATTCACAATCATAAAACATACAGCTTCCAATTTTTCTCACTTAATCCTTTTTTTCTTTTTTTTCCCTCTGCAAGTGGCCAGTGGCTATTGTTACTGAGGAGGCGGACCACACAGCCTGCATGAGTGTGGAGGTGTACAATTCCACACTAACACATTCACATAGCTGTTCATTCCTTAACAAGTTCCTAATGATTAAATGGTCATTCTGATGATAACAGAAACTAAGCAATGTTTAGAGGAATACTTGGATAACTCTGACCCTCACAAAGCATCAGCTGACTCTAACCCTTTAGATGAAAAAATGTAAAAAAAATAAACATTTTTTAGCCAACAAGTAATTAAGCTAGCATCTGAACATCGGTTTTCAGTGTGTGCATGTGAGAGAGGAACAATGCATAAGGTTGCTCTTGTTAAACCTTTTTTTCTTCCTCRTATAACTATCCAAACTGACTTTAAAATCATTGTTTTCTTTTCCCCCCACAGATTTAATACATTGATTTTAATATTAATTCGATTTTTTTACTTAATGAGAAAAAAAATCCAGAGTAATTTCAGAAAATTGTCAAACTGATCATTTTGCTACAATTTATTTTACAAATTTGTTTTTAGGGAGATTTTACAAAAGCAGAAGAGTATAAATGCAATGTATTGTCAGTACTATGTAACTTAATTTGTTTGCAATAATCCCTAATCTTACTGTTGACTGTCTAAAACCTATAAATGTCTTTTTTTTTTGCTAATTTAAGTCATGCTTGAGGCTCCCACGCCCCCCACAGGCATTATTTTATTTATGTGTGTTATTAGAATAAGGCAGTAAATAAATGATATACATCATGTAAACAAAGATCAAAAATGAAACGAGGTAGTCCTGACAGCTGAGTAATATCTTGAGGCAAAGTCTTCCTCATTTAAGACAGCAGAATTTCATTTAGCCTTGTATTCAGTCCCATTTATTTGTTTGTTTTATACTATTGTCTCAGAGCCAATATGTTTGACTGTGAGGCATTGGCTGAGGTCATTCTTCTTGCACTGTCTTCTTCTCGTCTACCCTGGGAGGCACTACGAGATCGGGCAGATCCGCCCCCTCTGTGGAGGAGGGCATTGCACTGAGTCACTCATCCTCCCTCAAACCACACAGAGAGAAAACACTGAGACGTGGATGAGAGACAAAGCAAGCAAAATAAGGCAAGGTTCGCTCCTTGAGTGAGATGTGCGTGCAGAGTGGGCGCCTTGCCAGGGGTGGGAGGTTTCCGGGAGGGCCACGGTGTGGAGGTGGGCTCTCAATGTGCCGCTTTCAGCAGTTTGGAGGGGCAAGGGAATGGCCTCCGACCCCATCTGTTTCCTGAAGATAGGCCCTGATAGGGGTAAGTGCTCCGAGAGGGCATGATATCCTGACAAAGGGCAGAGCTCACTGTAAAAACAACAGACAGGGAGAGAGGAGAGAGAGAGAGAGACAGAGAGAAAGAGAGAGAGAGGGAGAGAGAGAGAGAGAGAGAGAGAGAGAGAGAGAGGGAAACTTGGATTCATCAGCTAAAGGAGAGTAAAGAGGCTGGATCCTGGAAAGAGCTCATGCTTTTCCTCTGTCCCTCTCATAAATCTTTAGCAGTTTCCTCTTGTTTTTCCCATTCTAAGTTATGGCCTTTTGACAATTTTTTTTCTTTTTTTTTCTGAAGGGGCTGGAATTACGATGTTATTTAGGTAAGGAAGTTCACAGCACTTAGAGCTCTGCAGCGGGAAGAAGTGGTCTGTAACCCTTTGAACCTGTGGAAAGTAGTATTCTGTGTTTTCCATTCATAACAGCGGACAATGAACCATTGGATTGGAATGTTGGCACAATAGCAATATATGTATAGCGACACTTTAAAAGCATTTTTTAAAAGAATAGAGGTTGTTATATTAGCTGACTGGCTCTCTGTGCTCAGTCTTCACACCTGCTCGGCCTTGAGTGAGGGAGTTAGCCACGCAGTTTCCGTTTCCTTGTCCTTTCCAAGCTCACCATTCCTCACCAGCTAATGACAATCTCATCCATCCAGGATCAGCTGCATTGCAATACACAATGGTAGATGTGATAATATTGCATATGTTACAATATGATATCAGTTGACTGATGTTCTGAGACACATAAAAAACAACGGCAGCAGCATGTTCCCAAAGGCTAGGCATAGTTGTGGTCTAAGTTGCGCGTTTGATCTTCTCTATGTTTTTAAAGCTCTTTGCTTGTTTTTTTCCCTCTTGACTTAAGGTCTTTTAAAGGGTTCATGTTTTTTGTTTCCTTTTTTTTTTTCAAAAAATATTCTGGTGAGTGTTCAGGAATAATAGAAATGTTCTAATTTACCTCATGCAGGGCTTACATCCTAAAGTACACCCATTGTCTTGTGTTGGCTTTAAATGTCAGAGAGATTGTGTTTTGAGTCACAGTGGGCTAAGCCATTACATGGCCACATACAAGGTTAATTGTAGTAAAAGTATTTCCACTTATTCTGTTCTCTAATTATACTTTAAATTGCATATTTAAATTTTACTTTTCAGATAACACCTAAGGARCGCTATTGTTTCCGCTTGAAGCTGCTGAAGAAAAAATGATGTACACTATAAAGAATTTTAAATTCATACACCACAACTTTATAATAACTATGACAAATAACACCAGGGTGGCCCACCTTTACTATTCAAATGAATGTGCCAAATAATCTTGTACAACAGTCTTAAAAAATTACTCTGACTTACTTTATTTTTATTTTTCTTGCCTTTTTTGTCTTCTCATTTACCCTAATGCTTTTTTTTCTCTGTTTGTACTTTTTTTAGACGGTGCTGATCTTGAGGATGACCCTTCATGTTCTTGGCCAGCATCATCTCCCTCCAGTAAAGATCAGACTTCACCAGGACACTGCGAAGACTATGAGTTTGGAGAGGACGAAGGGGGTCCTGGCTTGCCATATCCATGTCAATTTTGTGACAAGTCCTTCAGTCGTTTAAGCTTCCTTAAGCGTCACGAACAGAGCCACGGAGATAAACTCCCTTTCAGCTGCACCTTTTGTAGCCGCTTATTTAAACACAAGCGCAGCCGAGATCGACACGTGAAGCTGCACACCGGCGATAAGAAATACCACTGTGGTGAGTGTGACTCAGCCTTCTCTCGCAGCGACCACCTCAAAATCCACATGAAAACCCACGCCTCCAACAAACCCCACAAGTGCCCCGTGTGCCGTCGAGGTTTTCTCTCCTCCAGCTCCCTGCACGGCCACATGCAAGTGCACGAGAGGGGGAAAGACGGCAGTGGCTCCAGCTTTTCTAGAGCCGAGGACTGGAAGCTGAAAGAAACAAGGAAGTGCAGTCGGTGTGAGGAAGGCTTTGACGTTCCGGAGGAGCTCCAGCGGCACATCGCAGAGTGTCACCCTGAGTGCTCGCCATCAGAAGATGGAGGTCTGGGTGCCACCCTGCAGTGCATCTACTGCCATGAGCCCTTCAGTGATGAGGGCACCCTGCTGACCCACATTGACCAGGCCCACAGCAGAGATCGGAAGGGTCACACCTGTGCTATCTGCTCCGAGCACTTTCTGTCTGTCGAGGACCTCTACGCTCATATGGATATCCACCAGCTCCCCGAATCCAGTAACCATAGTAACAGTCCTTCTTTGCTTACTGTGGGCTACACCTCGGTCTCTAGCACTACCCCTGACTCCAATCTCTCCGTCGACAGCTCTACAATGGTGGAAACTGCGCCGCCTGTTGCCAAGACACGAGGAAGAAGAAAGAGAGCTGCTCAGAATATGTCTGATTTGGGAGGTCGGGYCTCAAAACAGCCCAAAGTCTCCTACAGTTGCATCTACTGCAACAAGCAAGTATTCTCCAGCTTAGCCGTGCTTCAAATTCACCTACGAACCATGCATCTGGACAAGCCAGAACAAGCTCATACTTGCCAGTTTTGCTTAGAGGTTCTACCCTCATTACTAAATCTAAACGAACATCTTAAACAAGTTCACAGTGCAGAAGACCACGCTGCCCTGTTAGCCAGCCTGCCTGATGCCCTTCTTCAGTGTAACTTCTGTCCAGAGGTGTTGAGCGATCTGAACGCGCTGCAGGAACATATCCGCTGCTCCCATGGTTTCCCCAGTCCTGTTGCCAAGGACAGCAATGCATTTTTTTGCCCCCAATGCTTTATGGGGTTCTTGACAGAGGCTACCCTGGAGGAGCATGTTCGTCAGACTCATTGTGATGGGGGCAGCCTGCGTTTTGACTCCCCCTTGGCTGTAACTCCCAAGGAACCCATAGTGGAGGTGTACTCTTGCTCATATTGCACCAATTCCCCCATATTCAACAGTGTTTTGAAGCTCAATAAGCACATCAAGGAGAATCACAAGAACATTCCACTGGCGCTAAACTACATCAACAACGGCAAGAAATCTCTGCGCACTCTCAGCCCCTCTTCGCCAATCTCTGTAGAACAAACTGCCATGCTGAAACAAGGTAGCGCAGCTTCACGTAACACCAGTGAGTTCATTTGTAACCAGTGTGGGGCAAAGTATACAAGTTTAGACCTTTTCCAGACTCATCTCAAAACTCATCTGGATGGCCTACAACCTCAACTCACATGTCCACAGTGCAACAAAGAGTTCCCCAACCAAGAGTCTCTCCTGAAGCATGTTACAATACACTTTACTATTACCTCCACGTATTACATCTGTGAGAGCTGTGACAAGCAGTTCACCTCTGTGGATGATCTGCAGAAGCACCTTCTTGACATGCATACGTTTGTGTTCTTTCGCTGCACTCTGTGCCAGGAGGTGTTTGACTCGAAGGTATCCACACAACTACACCTGGCTGTAAAGCACAGCAATGAGAAGAAGGTGTACCGTTGCACATCCTGCAATTGGGACTTCAGACACGAGACCGACCTACAACTGCATGTTAAACACAGCCATCTGGAGAACCAAGGCCGTGCCCACCGCTGTATTTTCTGTGGGGAGTCCTTTGGCACAGAGGTAGAGCTGCAGTGTCACATAACTACCCACAGCAAGAAGTACAACTGTCGCTTTTGCAGTAAGGCCTTCCATGCCATTGTCCTCTTGGAGAAACATTTAAGGGAGAAACACTGTGTGTTTGAGGGAAAGTCCCAAAACTGTGGCACTAATGGGTCAACAGTAAGTGGTGGGGAAGGCCAGCCTAAAGATGATGCTGAACTACAAGGTCTTTTAACTAACAGCCATGGTCAAGTAGCAGGAGGAGGATCTGTGGTGGAGTCCCATAACAGCCATGATGGAAGTGAGGAAGAGGTGGACACTGCAGAACCCATGTAYGGGTGTGAAATATGTGGGGCATCTTACACCATGGAGTCACTCCTCACTAACCACCAGTTAAGAGATCACAATATCCGACCTGGTGAGAGTGCAATGATAAAAAGGAAGGCTGAAATGATCAAGGGCAACCATAAGTGCAATGTCTGTTCCCGTACCTTTTTCTCTGAGGCTGGACTAAGGGAACATATGCAGACCCACCTTGGGCCTGTCAAACACTACATGTGTCCCATCTGTGGAGAAAGATTCCCTTCTTTGCTTACTCTGACAGAGCACAAAGTCACCCATAGTAAGAGTCTGGATACAGGCAGCTGCCGTATTTGTAAGATGCCTCTGCAGAGTGAAGAGGACTTCCTGGAACACTGCCAGATGCATCCTGACCTAAGAAACTCCCTGACGGGTTTTCGTTGTGTGGTTTGCATGCAAACAGTGACCTCCACATTGGAGCTYAAGATCCATGGTACTTTCCACATGCAGAAGACAGGGACAATGTCCTCTAATCAACCCTTGGGCCGCAACAATGTCATGTCTCAAAACCAGCAGCCACACCATGCCCAAAAATTTTTCAAGTGTGCCTCATGCCTAAAAGATTTCCGGTCCAAACAAGACCTGGTGAAGCTGGACATCAATGGACTGCCTTATGGACTCTGTGCATCTTGTATGACCGCTGCAGGCTCCAAGAGCTCCAGCCCAACGGTGAACGGAGGAAGGCAGCAGCAGGGTGGGGCCACCACTCCAGCCTCAACAGCTGCTGCGTGGGTACAAGGGGAGAGTCTCAGCCCTGGAGATGGAAAAGGCAAAGGTGTCTCTTCATCATCGTCTTCTTCTTCCACATCCTCATCGTCTGTTGTCAAGACACGCTGTTCCAGCTGCAATGTGAAATTTGAGTCTGAGGCAGAGTTGCAAACCCACGTCCAGACGGTGCACCGGGAACAAGGTGGGGATAGCAACAGCGGGCAGCTCAAGACCCCCCAGGTGTCCCCAATGCCAAGAGCCAGTCCTTCACAAACTGAAGAGGTATTTCTGATCAATGTTTTGTTAAATAAGGTTGATTCAGATTAAGATTGGTTAACAAACAAAAAATATTAGAAGTTAACATTTATTAACAATTTATTTTACATGTGTTTATAGAAAAAGACATACCAGTGCATCAAATGCCAGATGGTGTTCTACAGTGAATGGGACATCCAAGTCCATGTGGCCAACCACATGCTGGGTAAGAGACTTTTTTTCATTTTTTAATATGGTTTCTATATCATTTTTTACTCAAATTAAGAGCTCATGTACATAGTTTTCTGAATGCATCACACAGTAGTCAAAGTGATCTTTACAAATATATTTAAATGTTAGGTGGAATGATTTTGTGTCTATCTATTTAAACATCATTACTATATGCAAATTAAGATCATGTTTTTCCAATTTCATTGCAGACATTTCATTATCTTTAATCAATTTCAAACAGTTTTTGCCCTTTTTTTAATCAAGAAATCACATATTAAAGATTGGTGTTATATAATAAAATAGTTGACCCTGTCTCCCTCAGGCTCACATGTATCTGGATCACATCACCAAATAGGTGGAATTATTTTAATATTTTTTAAGAATCAAATGCATCTTCAGTGTTGTGCTTTCACAAACATGCAAGTTTCATTTCCCCATGCATGTGAATGGTAAAACAGAGTGTTTTATGCATGCTTGTGGAGCATCATCTTTCAACTTTAAATCATTAAGATAGTTTGAAATAGTACAAAACATTTATTTGTTTCACTTCCAAATATTTTGAAATTCAGACATATTATTGATACAGTAAAATATTTTAATGATATGCTCTCATTTCATTATTTTTTTGAGTTTGTTGGCTTGTTGCCTCTTTTTTCCTCTAAGATCTGAATACATTTTGTATTATACTTTTCACTTATTGACATGAAATCAAACCAAAAGTACACATAACGCTGTATTTTACTAATTTCTTGCAAATCTTGCCTTTTCTGTGCACGTTTTCTATGCTGAGATCATAAGCCAACATCCACATTTTCAAAATGTCTTCACTTTTGGTTGCCATTTGTATGCAGGAAGAATAATTTATAGAGAGGAGACAATTGGAAAACAGGTTTTCTTGCCTGCAGTAAGTAGGCGTCTGAATTCCGGTCTCACGTTCCTTTATTCATTCATTTATTCAGCTCGTTTGGCGGCTCTTTCATTACACTGCATTATCTGTTGTCTTCAGTGGGGGAGAGACTCATTGATCTGGAACCAAACCGCCTCTCTGTTTGGGACACGCTTCTAGGCGCAGGTGAATTTAAACACGGTGGGCAATTCTATCAGGACTGGTAGGCAATTCTATCAGGGGCCCACTGTTTGTGCATAAACAATCAGAAGCATGTGATTTGTGATTTTGATTCTGCGGCGTATTTGCAAAAGAGAGAGACGAGCCTAGAGTGTGTAGGTGTGTGTTTTGTATTCATCTTTGCGATCTGCTCACCCACCAGTCTACTGGGGGTGCCTAATACAGTACCATGCCAGCATTAGTCCTTTCTCTCGCAAAGGCAGGCACGGAGCACACTGGGAGGGTAGAAAACAAACCCCCCTACTGGTTATTTTATGTCTTTCAGCCGCACAAGCACACAGTTCCCTCATAATAGTGGAATTCAGACAGCTTAAGATAACAGGAGGATAGGTGATTGGGTTATTGTCTGATGTCTTACTTCTATGATATGCCACTGCTTAGTATTCAACATGATAACAGGTTTCATCTGACTTCTCAAAAGGTTTCTGTTATGCATTTGTTTTGTGATCTCTGAAATATGAGGGAAAAACAAAACTCATTGTAATGGGAAAAAACAGAACAAAACAAAGAAAATGTGTTTAACTGGCATGTCATGTTAAGAAAGTTTTTAAAAAATTGATTTCATGGCTTATKATCGATTCTTAAGAATTTCTCTCTTATAATGTAAAATACTGTTAAAGTCAACCCAACCCGTAAGCACCGTGCAGCTAATTTGGGCCAAAAACARAAAAAAAATATCCATTTGGAAAAGCTCTAAATACCTTCTCCACAGAAAAAGGGGACACTTTCTCCTTTTAATGGCCATCTGCACAGGAGARGAGAAACAGGGGGCTGGGGTCATCTCCGCTCAGCTGTCAGCGTTATTAGCGTAGGTAATGGAGCAGACGCTGGATTCATAGGGGTGTTGTTTTCATCCATACCCCGCTCCATGGTGTCAGTTCACACTGATAACTCTATATATAGTGATGTGTCGTGACATAACTATAGTGCTAAGTGTATGGAACAACAAAACCTGAGCCCGTCTCACCCAGACAGGTTCTTATTAGACGCCTTTGAAACACAATAGTCTCTCGGAACCAAACGTAAAAAGCCTCCACCTTTACCACGTCTCCTCTGGACAAAGTGGTTGTAGCTGCCTCTTCTGTAAGGATGCCAGCACATTTTGATGCATGAATATTACAGTCAGATGACGCGGCCCTGGTTCAGACATAAAGGGCAGCTCTGGAGCTCAGCTACTCCACATTTACTATGATAATGGAGGTAAATGAAAGGGAAGGAAGAGGCCATGGTTGCAGAGGGGTGTGCTGCGGACCAGCCCCAGCCAAGCCCRTGAATGGCCCCACGTGTCTTAAGATGGAGGCAGTAGCCTACTAAGGCCCAGATGGATCAGTACACATTTGCTGTACAGCTGGTCGCTCTGTTTGGGGACCTGGTGTGATACTCCTATGGAGAAAAAAAAATGATATCGCCACCATCCAAGGAGCAATTTAATAGCAGGCCAGAAGACAGCTGGCCACTCTTTAGTTTAGAGTTTTTTTGGCATGGCACACTTACAGAATTGAGGGTATCCGATTTTTCTCCAGAGACACACAGATTTTTACAGCTTTCAGCTGTTGCAGTCACTATCAATCCATTCATTTTCTATTATTTCTCCAAAATAAAATGATATCTTTCCACACTGGAAAATATTTTAAATAGTTGTAGTTTCCCAAAGTCATCTTTTCATTTTTTTTCTTTTCAAGAAGAMCTTTGAAGGTCTTTCATTGGCACAAAAGCCTGTTTGGTTTTATCAGCATGCCATCATGACACCCCATTGCTTCACTTTGACCCTAGTGTAAACTATGACATTTGGAGCCTCATGGGGGGCACGTTTGGCCCATTTATCGCTCTGTTTCAAATGTCCCTCTGTGGATTTTCAGAGCCCCAACATGTTTTGAAGCATGGGCTTCGTCTTAAAGGGTTTTGAAGGTGAGAGGGCACCCGCCCCCCCCCCTTTTTTTTGTTTGAGCCTGTCTGTTTTCAGTCTCGTCCTGCTCACTCCAAGTGGCAACTGCCAAGGTGGCAGTGCTCACAAGGACAATCGTAAACAAACAAACTAAACTACATCATAGAAAAGTGGTTCTGGGGTCACCTCTACAGGTTTTTTTTTTGGTGGGGAGATGGTGACAACACTGCAGCTCAAAGCCAAGTCAGGGAGGAGCCTCCTCTCACAGAGAGGAGCCAGTGGCCTGGTCGGCCCAGTCAAAGGGGGGGCACTGGAGGGGTGGAAAGGTTTGGGGGCGGAGAGGGAAAGGCACATTTGCTGTACAGCTGGCCGCTCTGTGTGAAGCAGGCACTGTGGGCTGTTACAGACCTGGAGAGGAGAGCAAGTGAGAGGCCTTTAGCTCTCCTCTAGCTTCTCCTCCTCCTCTCTGTTCTTCCTGTCCACTATCTCCCCCATTTCCCTCTGCCTCAGTATCTAGTGCTCACATTTTCGTATTAAGTGAGCTCCAACCTGGCAAAACATGCCGTGCTGGCTGTTAGTGTAGGAACCGACAGGAGGCACACTGTCACAGTTTTTGAAGCTGAAAGCCTTGTTTTGTTTCTTGCTAAGGGTTTCAAATTATCCTTGACACATATCCTCTTGTTTTGGGCCCCAAGAGCAGCTTGGCTGTTATACTTTGATTATATGGTCTTCATCAGTGTYTTTGCCCTGGTGAAAACACATTTATTATTCCTTTAAGTTTTTTTTCCCTCTCCATTGATGCATGGAAAGAACGCACGATTTACATCCTTTTGCTTCTTTTTCTATAACCAACTTGGATTAGGTATGTCTAATGGTGTTTCCATCATTTCTAAAACTCATTCATAAAGTGCAAACACATGTAATCTGCTAAGAAAACATGACCAAACGCTCCTTATTTGACTCCTAGGGGGCTGGATCAGAGTCAGAACTCAATAAACAACACAGCAAAGGAGCGGGATCAATCCTATGAAAAAATAAGAGAACAGGTTTTAGACCAGCCACTGGAAACAAAAGAATCCATCCGTGCCATACACTGAGTGTGATATCTGCCTGCTTCTATTAATYGGCGATTAATAACGCCTCTCTGTTCGTTAGCATAGTCACCTCCCGTGCAGCCAAGTGTGTGGCTGCTAATATGCAATTATGTGCACCTTACTGCTCGTTACATTATACCTCTCCCTGACTAATGTGGGTTCCATGAGGAGAATAGAAATCAGCACAAGCTGCACAGAAAAATAAAAATAAAATAAAATAAAAAACCCACAGCTATCAATAAGATTCTCACATTCTTTGTGTTGCTCGCCTGTCTGGGCGGAGAACAAAAACAAAAGAAGTTTCGTACAAATTCCTCGATGTAACCAGGAGACTGCATTAAAAGTTTTACAGCTTTGCAGAGACTGTTTTGCTCTTCCTGGTGTTTTTGTTGTAAAGCAGAGGTAATTGACATCACCATGGGGATGCTCTGTTGCTAGGCCAGACAAGCTCAGTCTGATGTGGTCCTTATCTATTGATTTTCCTGACATTTCCCCGCACCTCACAGACTAGGCCAACATGTGAGAAAATATCTGGTGCTCTCAGTTCATACCGCCTGGCTTGTACAAACTCCGTGCGAGTACTCGCTGCCCCTCGCTGCATCGCAATTGGCAGGCTGGTGTTGCAGCAGCGATTTGGGGCAAAATCCTTCCATCGATTGGTTGAAATGGGTTTGCTTGTTGGGTGATCTCTACACAACATAAATTATAATCTCAAGGAAACAATTTACATGTTAAACATTTAGGATAAATCTTGTCTTTGCAAGACTACTTTAGGACTTAGGTGACCTGAATAAAGGTGGGCACGTTTAGACCCTCCCCCTGCTATGTTTTATTGATATACAGTAGAGATGTCTCTTTTAGAGTGTTAATGCCAACCCTTGTTCCAAAGTGAAACCCATAAATACTGGATGATCAGAATTAACCTCTGCGTTACTCTTCCTCCCCATGGTCTCTGAGATGTCACCAAGGGCGGAGGTGCCTATGCACCCCTGTTCTGATGGGGTTGCTTAGCAGTCTGAGCGAAGGGGGGCTTATGGGAGAAGTGCAAACAGACAGTCCTGCCTTAGTAAAGGTCAAAGCTGCAACCTACACCTCTCAAATCCCAGGCTGGCCCTGAWGGGACCAGGGTTCCGAGCATGCCTAGAGAGACTTGTGGTAAGGGAGACATACGGAGAGTGAAGCGGTGCCCTGCCACTGAACTGCATTGCTTTTAGAGGTTGTCAGCACTAACAGTAGTGTGACAAATCTGT